CATTAGTAATGATACAATATAACAAACTAATTTTACGTTTAATTTCAGAACAAACTCAAAACCTAACACAGACTAAATGAAGTTTTTATATGGCACCACAAGTGAAATTTCATATCCTCAAAACAAAGTCAGTATCCTTACCATCATCATCCTTGGTAGGATAGATGGCAGTGGAAGGATATGGGTCATATGAGGTCATGTCTGTGTATCTTCGTTCTAAAGTTTTCTTGGTGGTTGGACAATAGTGGACTGATCTCACCACCTTTGGCCTCACAAGGGAACCTGGTGGAAGGAAAATGATTATAGACATTAAAAGTGAATTAGACAAATAGTACAGGCAATAAAAATTGTCTCCCTCCCTCTCTCTCTCTCTCTCTTAAAAATAGATATAGACAGATACACAAACTTTAGTAATAGTAGAATTTTTCCTTTAATGACTTCCCAACGTAACTTCCATATGGGACAGAAAAATAAACAAGTGAATGGTAGGTAATCATTCCAAATAGGATTAGATGAAGCAACAGTAAGGCTAACAGTCTTCAACTAAGGCCAATAAACAACAAACACATATATTCAGGAAGATAAAACAAATTGCTATGGAAGTTGACTATTTTGCTGAAAATAAATAAGAGGAAGTTTTGCAGGTCTATTTGCCTCTCCAGGGAGCAAAGGCAAATAGACTTGGAATACATAACAAGTGAACGTTGATACTACCAACATACTGATTCTCTCTATTAAGTAATAAAACAGTAGTAATAACAAAGATATACAAGTAGGAGAAAGGGGAAGGAAGAAGAAAAGGATGAAAAGTAAGGAGAGGATGAATAATAACGAAAGGAAAAAAAGTGGCAGTGAATCCAGTGAAACAAAACAAATGGAAAAATAGATGAATATGAACACCAATAACAAAAAGGAAAATAAACACCCTTACATTTGGTCACAATGCCTTCAACGCAGACCAAATTGCCAAGGTTCCTGGTGTTGAGCGTTCTCGGAGACACATGCTTGCTACCGAAACTGCCTTCGAAACCCACAAACAATTCCTCTGTGGTCTTGGCGTAGTTGGTGTCAACAGCGGCCACAAATTCTTTTAATGCCCGGTGGAATGCTGGCAGTTCCTCAAAGGCAGAGTTCAAGAGGCTGGAGGGAATAACAGATGAGTATGGTTAAGGCAAGTTCTACCAAACACCTAACCTCTTAACAGACTGGTTGCCATTGCCAGCCAATTCTCATTTTTATTTTTCATTCATCCTTTTTTGGCTTAAACTATTGAACATTATCTACATGGTATGTGGTATAGGCAGTCAAATGGTAACAAATAATTTCTAATAATATCTCTAGGTCATCTAGTTTATATCACTTCAAATATATATCAATCAAACCTAAACATAGTAAATATATCAGAAGGAAGGAAGGACGGAAGGAAGGGAAAGGAGGAAAAAGGAGGGAGGGAAGGAAGGAAGGAAGGAAGGAAGGAAGGGAGGTGTACAAAGAATCAGATCTCAAGCCCTCTGACACCAACCCTGAGGCACGCTGGGGGTTCTTCTTGCGCAGATCATTGATGTTGACGTTCAAGCGACACTCCCCATTGGCCACCATGTCGCGCACCAGCTGAGTGTACACACCAGAGTCTTCCTGTAAGAAAAGGTGAGGGAGATTGAGGAGTGAGAATAATCAATTACTAGATATGCGAATGAAAATGAGGAGTGGGACAAGGGAAGTTGTGAATACAGGGGAAAGAAAATTTAGTAAATATGGGACACATGTATATGAAAGAAGAGTTCACATTGGAAAATAAAGCTCGACAACAAGGAATACAGAGAGATAATGGAGATCATTTGCATTCTCATAACAAATGAAAAGAGCGACACAAAAATTTGTAAATTTCTGAAATGACATAACTGGATTACATTTTGAAAGAACAACTAAATATGGATATTCTTCAGTCATTATATTAAATCCACTCATATTATACTAAATCCAGATAATATAAATCTAGATAACATTACATCTAAAACTCCTTCATGACTAAAAAAGTTAAAAAAATGTTTCAAAAATGCACACTAGAAATTTATCCATCGTAGAATTAAAAGAAAAAAAAAAAAAAAATAATAGAAATAAATAAATTAATAAATAAATAAATAAAATAATAATAAATAAAAATAAATAAAAACAACAACAACAATAGGTAATAAACAAACAGATGAATAAAATAATAATATTACTTTTTAAGCTGGCAAACACGACAGAAAACAATACAAGGTTAATAAACAGAAAAAATAACCCATTAGTCATGCCTTCAATAATGAGTAGAGGAAGTGAAGGTAATAAAGAAAAATCATAAATAAAATATGGAAAATAAGGACAATATAGGACTAAATAATAAGAAAAATAAATAAAACATGGAAAATAAGGACAACAAAGAAATGGAAAATAAAAAACAAGAATACATGGAAAATGAAGACGAAAAAGGAATAAAAAAGTTAAAATAAAGAGAAATAATAACAGTATTCTTTAAGCCTTCGAGTTAAGATAAACATCACATTTTTTATATTTTTTTTTCGCTTAAACCTCGTCAATTTTTATTTCCCCTATTTCACACATTTGCGTTGAAATAAAAATCCAATCAATAAAAAATAATCATCAGTAAATAAATAAATAAATAAAACAAATCATGAAATTCGTCAAAAGCTTTGTTCCGAATTTCCCGGTAAGGAAGACACATCCCGGTCGTGTTTTTTTCTCTTATTTTCTCCTTAAATTCGTAATGTTAGTGAAAATCCCGCCTTAGGACGTATCAAGAACCGTAACTAGCTACGTTGTCCGTGGAAATTGTAGATAAATAATGAATAAATGAGGGAGAAATGGGGATAAAGCGAGATAAACGAGAGAGAGAATCTTTTCTGAGAATGTTTATCCCTTCAGACTTAAAACATCAAAATCTGACTCACATCATCCTCCAAAAACTCCAAGTACTCTCTCTGGATGTCCCGGATGCGCTGGTCGATCACGACGTCCGTAGCGGCGGCCATTTTATCTCGATTTTACAAATATTTCGGAAAGAAAACTGCTCTCGCGTCCTTCTTCCGCCGCGTCCGCACCGACTCTGATTTTTGGCGCGAAAACGACAACGAAAAGCGCGGGAAAGGCGGTGCTGCCATCTGTTGGCCGGAAGGGGAAGTGCGACGCAGAGGGTGCAGAAGGCAGACGGGCGGGACATTTAAATATGGAGGGGAAGTGTGTGTGTGTGAGGGGGGGGGGGGGGTAAAAGGATGGGACTTTAAAAAATGGGGTTATTTTTGCCGGGGTAAAAGAGTTTTAAATTTGAGTGATTTTCCTGTGAAAGTGATAGACCTTTAAATATATGGGGATTTGATATGGCACGATTTAGATAAGAGGGATTTTCCTGGGGTGAAAGGGCAAATTTTACTGGGGTGGGTAGGTGAGTCTTTTAAACATGGGTGAGTTTGCTGGGGTGAAATGGCGGGCTTTTAAATACGGGGGAAATTTTGCTAGGGTGAAAGGGCGGGACTTATAAATATGGCGGGATTTTTAAACATGGGGAATTTAAATATCACCAGGATATGAATAGGAATATTTTAATGTGAAACAATTTTTATAATGGGGGACTTTAGAAGTGGAAGGTTAGAGAAAGGAGGGCATTTTTAGAAAGGAAGGGATTATGTTTTCTTTTTTTTGTTCCATGCCTATGCTGAATTGTTTTTCTTTCACCCCTTCTCTCTCTCCCACGTCTCCTCTCCTTCCTCTCTTTCTGCCTCTGTTCTTGAGTCTGGTTTCAGCTCAACAGCAAGTTTCATATATATCGTGTTAACATACTCCCTTTATTTACAAGGTCGAGTGACATATGTAGTATTAACAGTGAGTTTATTATAAGACACTTTTTATTGACATCATGGATTGTAGAGCACATTACATTTTGTCTCATTTCCTTTGCTTGTCTTTAATGACCTGTTTCTCTTCTCAGAGACAAACTCATTGATCTAAACTCTATGCGACAAGGGTCAAGACATGTTCTACATTGTGAATTCATAAGAAAATGATATTGACACTGTAAATACTATCAAAATGTAGATTCACCTTCCTGGAATTTATAAGTACATTTAACAATATTGAAGCCATTACAAAAATGAAATATGTAAAACTGAAATAATTTTTTTTTTTTTTTTTTTTTTTTTTTTTACAGTTGCCTTTTTTCCTGCCATGTTTTCTTGTCTATCACTCCTTATTTTTATATAGCCTTTTATATCAAATATTATTTTTAAAGTCTGTGAAAAAGCTAGCAATGATCGCCTCATGTCAAAATCACAGTTTCCTAGCACTCACTGTATCAAATCCTAAGAGACTTGTCATGTTGAAACTTAATAACAGTTATTAAATCAAACTCCACAACTATGGAGTACCACATGATCTTTGAATCAACCTTCAGAGTTCATTTTTACTTTGTTTACAAATTACCTGAACTATTTCACTTTGGGAAATGCACATAAAAATACTGCACTTCATTTCTTACTCTTGACCTAATGGTATTCACTTGTATTGGTTTGTCTCTTTTGGGCATAACTATTAGAAACTTAAAATTTCATTGTGCTAGATCCATTTTTTTTAATTAGCTATTATTCATAAAACCAATTTCTGTGCATTGATTTCAGACCTTCGCTATAATAAATCTATATATAGATTTCATCATATCACACATGTTTGTAAAAATCTTATACTTATTACACACTACAGAAATGAACAATAATGAACTGTCTCACATATAGAACAGAAACTTTTCCTGCCATGGCCTTGCACAAAACTGTTTTGTTCTCTTATTTACAATATCTACTCTTGCTAATTTTCTCAAACTGTTGAAGTGTGTAGCAATAATAATATAAACATTTCATAAATTTTAGAAAACATTGCCATCATTTTATGATTATGCTGAACATTTCTATAATCATTAGCATATTAATGCAGATGGGATAATAAAAAAAGGACAGATGTGTTATATAATTTACAAGAAAAATATATATACTACATATACTTCATGTAAATTTCTTTTCTACAACAGTCATTCATCACAGCTCTGTTAATCATACATCCACATAGAGTATAAAAATAACAAAAATCACAAATAAATGCAAAAGGGAAAAATTTAACAATTCATTTTTCTAAGCCAAAACAGGTGATACAGAATATCAGTCTAAATTAACACAAAATTCTTTAATAACAAAGATAACTTTTACCACATTGAGCAAAACAAGGACTAGACCCACATCACATGACGCAAAAGCAATAACAACAAAAGCATAAAAGCATAAAAACACAAAAGCATAACAACCCAACAGATGTTCTGGATAAAAAATTAACTGTGTTGTTACAATTCTTCAGTGGCAGAGAAAACAACATATGGATGAATAAAACATAGAGGATGCCAGGTAAGAACACATCATAAACATTTAATGAAATATGGCACTTGACAGAGAGCACACATGAATCAATGCATTATTGTGTAAAGGTGAATTTTCCCTGAATACTTGAGCATTTTTTAAAATCATCTTGTCTACATATATTGCACAGTATATTGTGTATACATTATCTAACAAAACAATAAAAGCTAACCAAATGAGTTAAACTATTGAGGTTGTTAGTATTATATTATGATACACATAAAAAAATAAAACAGCTGCTCTAAATGGGAATTTGATATTTCCAGTTTATGGCTTTATATCAAATTAAAAATCAATTCTCTGTTAACTTAATCTGCTCCTTTACTCCTGTATTTGTCTTCCAGGCTAAATAAGTGTTCCAAAATAGTGCAAATATCTGCACAATAAGAACCTGGTGTTGCAAAGGGATGAAGGCAAAATTGCAGATCTGCACAGCTGGCCAAACCTGAAATGTCAATAAAAAATGCTTGCATTACCTATCATATGTATATGGACTCCCTGACAAGAGATTTATCCAAGTGAAATGGTAAGAAAAATATGAACAACTAATTCTGATCTAATATCATCACTGTATATGCCATAACACATGGCTTCAAAAGACAAAGGGACAAAAATCATAAAAACATTAGCAAAGAAATTAACAGAAGATTTCCTTACAGTCCAGTTAGTCAATATGATATCCACATAGTTATTTTTAATCTCTTCTTTTATCTTCTGTGGACTATTCCCCTGTGTGACACCCAGCACAGTCAGGAATGACCCCAGGAAGCATGGCGCAAAGATGCCCTGGTCAAAGGCCACTTTCTTCAAGGCTCTCACTGTTGATCCTGAGCCAATTCTGCGATCTAGTATGCCATACCATACTTTCAGTGTTGGACCCTATAATTCAAGAGGAAAGCAATTAATGTATACATAAGATTATGCTAATAGTTATATAAAACTTGAATTCATAAGTCCATATACTTTCATTCATCAATTAAGCTAGGCTTACCCTGACTCATTCTAGTCAATAAAGAGCTGACAATTATAAGCAGGAAATCAAAAGAAAGAAAGAAAGAAAAAAAAAAACACTCATCCCAGGTTCTGGAATATTCCAATTTGCTGTATCTTTTGATTAAAGAAAATTACAGGATATGACATGTCTGTCTGGGTATAGTTGAAGGTGGGGACTACTTCCTTTCCTAGATAGGTTCACATTAATACATGACTGACTAAAATTATCAAGTTACACTTCTCTCTCTAAAAATAAATAATTATTAGCCTACAATTAGTTCTACTAGTTTCTGTTGCTATAATAAAATACAGATTTTAATACTTTGCAATAGTCACATATATGCTTGAACACTAGCAATAAAAAGTTATTAAAACAAAATTGGTATCTATTATTTCTTCAATGAGAAAAAGAGAAAAAAGCTGCTACTTCTACCTACATAATACATCCTTAATGGGAATTTGAGATAAAACAAATATAAAATAACACATCAATCAATCAAAGAAGATGACCCACCACAAAGAAAGTGCCAAGGCCTATGAAGCGTGCTGTACGCTGCCATTCGTACTGACTCGTAGATTTTTTCTCAATGACAAACTGTGAAATGACATCTCCAGCTCCCATTAGTACGCCTGAAATTGGGAAAAATGGCAATTAACGACAGCCACCCTTGCTACTCATATAAGTTTATATAAGTAGCCTATATGGAGGCCAATAATGAGTTCATATATACATGTGTGTATGTGTATGTGTATGTGTGTGCGTGTGTGTGTGTGCGTGTGCATGTGCGTGAGCGTGTGCATGTGCGTGTGTGTGTGTGCATGTGTGTGTGTGTGTGTTGTGTGTGTGTGTGTGTGTGTGTGTGTGTGTGTGTGTGTGTGTGTGTGTGTGTGTGTGTGTGTGTGTGTGTGTGTGTGTGTGTGTGTGTGTGTGTGTGTGTGCGTGCGTGCGTGTGTGTGTGTGTGTGTGTGTGTGTGTGTGTGTGTGCGTGCGCGTGCGTGCGTGCGTGTGTGTGTGTGTGTGTGTGTGTGTGTGTGTGTGTGTGTATGAGAAAATAAACACATTTAAAATTTCAGACAAAACAAAATTATTAAAGGCGACAAAATAATATAAATACAAAAGTGCAATGAAAATACATATGTAGTATATCTTAATAACAAAACACCTTATAATCCAGCTAGGGAAGCATAGCGGTTGGCCAGGGAAGCACAGTGGATGGCTAGGGAAGCATAGCAGTCGGCTAGTGAATCACTGCGGTCGGCAAGGGAAGCACTGCAATCGGCTAGGGAAGCACGGCAGTTGGCAAGAAAAGCACGGTGGTCGACTAGGGAAGCACTGCGGTCAGCTAAGGAAGCACGGCAATCGACTAGGGAAGCATGGCAGTCAGCTAAGCATGCACATCGGCTGGCTAGAGAAGCACAGTGGTCGACTAGAGAAGCACTGCGGTCAGCAAGGGAAGCACGGCAATCGGCTAGGGAAGCATGGCAGTCAGCTAAGCATGCACATCGGTCAGCTAGGGAAACACGGCAATTGGCTAAGGAAGCACGGCGGTCAGCTAGGGAAGCACGGCAATCAGCTAGGGAAGCACAGCGGTCAGCTAGGGAAGCACGGCAATCAGCTAGGGAAGCACGGCAATCGGCTAAAGAAGCATGGCGATCGTAGGGGGGTCCAGGGGCATACCGCTATCTTTATATCAGTTTATTTGTTTGGGCTGGGATGCATTAGCTCATTCATTCCTGCAATGCAGTGTCAAATCTTCCGAGGCCGAATCTTGGCTTGAGTGTTTAATTTTTGCACTTTCATTATCATATGAAATGCAATTCTTGGCTCGGGTTTTTCATTTTGGCCCTTTCTTTTACTTTTTTAATTTCCTTCAAATAACCTTACAAGGGTAATTTTGTGGGAATTTTGGCTTGTCCTTACGAAAAATGAACTTACTTTACAGTTGTCAAGTCAAAGCTTGTGTGGGGGGCCTGTGTGGTCCCTCCCCCCCCAAAAAAAAGATTCCACACATGCCTCTCAAAATCGTTGGGGATAGGGGGGAAAATATAAGAAAATATGAACATTCCATCTCCACAAGTATTACCCCCATTACATTTACATAAGAATGCTATCCACTTCTATAGTATATTTTTCGACCATTAATATCTATCAATATTACAAACTATTACATAATCATAAACTTAAAGCAAACAAGCAAAAAAAAAAAAAAAAAAAAAAAACATAAATCAAAATAAAGATATATATATACATATATGTAATAAACCTAATTTAATTCATTATCAAATCAAATATTTCAGATCAAGATAAAGTTCAATCTACTAACCTGCTTGTATTGACTGGACAGCCATAGGATACTTATGAAGTAAGTGAGAGTAAGATCTCCTAATTAGGCTCATTATGGCGAGGAAGTGGGTTCTTGTCAGTCCGCGAGAAGATAATGTAAATGAGAATTGAAATAGTTACGAAAATTGCTTCCTCTGTTTATCTCTTGTTGTTAATCTCGGCGCGATCCGCACTCTTTTACCGCTTTCCTTTTAAGATGTTATTTTGGTCTTTTTCATTTAGTATGATAGGACACTTTTGTATATATAAAGATCAGGGCTAATATAACCAAATGGAAAGATGTAGTATTGATTTTATATTTCGATAGAGATAATATTTTATTGTTTTCGGCGATGGAGTTGCGACTAGGAATTTGCCAGGACAACAAGCATTGCATAAAATTATAATGTGAACAATTACTTTTATATTTTCTGCTTCCCTGGACAATATATATATATATATGTATATGTATATATACGTGTGTATATGTGTATATAGATACATATATAATATATAATATAATATATATATATATATATATATATATATATATATATATATATATATATATATATAATATATAATATATATATATATATATATGCATATATATTATATATATATATATATTATATGTATATATATATGTATATATAATATATATATATATATATATATATATATATATATATATATATATATATATATATATATATATATACATATGAACACAAGCACAAACACAATCACGTGAACACAAAAATGAAAATGAAACAAGCCACAATGAGAATTGAGAATAAGCGTGACGTTTCGAACTCTTCTCGAGTTCCTCATCAGACAAAAACCGAAATGGATCAGATTTCGGTTTTTGTCTGATGAGGGACTCGAGAAGAGTTCGAAACATCACGCTTATTCTCAATTCTCATTGTGGCTAGTTTCATTTTCATTTTATATATATATATATATATATTACATATATATATATATATATATATACATAATATATATATGTGTGTGTGTGTGTGTGTGTGTATGTGTGTGTGTGTGTGTATGTATATATGTATACACACACACACACACACACATATATATATATATATATATATATATATATATATATATATATATATATATGTGTGTGTGTGTGTGTGTGTGTGTGTGTGTGTGTGTGTGTGCGTGTGTGTATATATTACAATACACAGACACACACTCGCGCGCGCATACACAGCCTACACACACACACTCATATACATATACACATGTATATATGTATGCGTGAGGCAGACGGTGAGCCCCGTGAGGAGGGCGACTGCTGGGGCGCAGGATAGGAACGGGAGCTACTCGTCCCACCTTTGTTCCGGCAGCCGCAAACCCTGTATGAAGCTTGTGGGGCAAAGCCCTAGGGAACCCCAGTCTACCGACCCCTTTTATATGGTGCAGCGTCGGCGGGAGTGGCAGAGGTGGCGTCCACCCGGCGTGACTGCCCGAGGATGAACATCAGGCGGGAAGCCAAGATGGGGGCTTGGGACGTCCGTTCTTTGCGTCAGAATGATCGGTTGCCTCTACTATCGAGGGAACAGGGGAGCCTGAGAGTTGTGGCTGCTCTCTCGAAGGTGAGAAGACCTGGCAGCGGCACGATCAGTGTTGGTGGCTACACCTATTACTGGTCGGGCCACAGTGACAGTCACTATCTTCAGGGAGTAGCCATAGCCATCTCCAGCAGACTCCAGCCCTTGGCAGTAGAGGTTACTCCGTTCGATGAGCGTATGTATAATGGTATTGAGACTGAAGCTAGCATTAGGCTTCATGTCTCTGATTTCTGTGTACGTCGAGTTTTCGAACAACGGTAGGGGCTACCGTTCGAAAACTCGACGTGAGAGTTCTACGTCGTTGTCCTCGGCGAGATATTCGTATTGTTCTGGGTGACTTCAATGCGGTATCTGGCTGTGATCGAGCTGGCCATGAGATGCCTGTCGGTCCCCATGGTTCGGGAGCTGATGCCGGCAGCGAGAATAGCCTCCTTTTCCGGGACTTTGCAAGGTCCAAGAAATTTAGGATTTCAGGCTCCTAGTACCAGCGTTTAGACCCACATCGTTGGACATAGTACAGCGATGCGGGTAATGCAGCCAAGGAGATCGATCACTCGTTGGAGAATCCTCCAAAATTGCAGGGGGTATAGGAGTGCCGAGTTCTGTGGTACTGACCATAGATTAGTCGTGGTTACCCTCCAGATCCACTTCAAAACTCCCCAACGGTCCATTGATCACCCTAGGGTGTTTCAATTGGACTGGCTGAAAGAGGGGGAGTGTGCCCGGGGGGTTTCTGAGGCAATTTCTGGTCGTTTCACAGCGCTCGACAATCTGACGGACCCTGTACTTCTGTGGGACACCTTCAAGCTCGAAACGTTTGATGCAGCCCAAGAATCGATTGGTGATCGCCCGAGAGCATAACAGAATTTTATCTCGCAGGAGACACTCGAAGTCACAGATGTTAATCGTGCGGCTCGTCTGACGGGATTTGCACCGTTCTCAGGTCCGCTGAACTCGGTCACTGTTTAGAAGAAACAAGGAACTATTTATTGGGTCTTGCAGAGGAGGTCGAAGGCCATTTCCTAGTAAATGACTTTCATCCTGCATACCAAGTCCTGAGAAAGCTGAACTCCAAGCCCTCTTCACAGGTGACGGCAGTTCGCTTAGTATGTTGCCTGATCGTCTCAGATCCTGTTGTGGTGCGGGAGCGTTGGGCTGAGTATTTTGAGCAGTTCTGTGAGGTTGACTCACCAGCAGTTAACTTGGATGCGGGTAATACCGTGATTCCGTTGCCGGACCCACCCATCAGTGAGGATCCACCCTCCTTAACTGAAGTTAGGGGGCGATATCCAAAGCTGAAGAATGGTAAAGCAGCGGGTATCTGCAGCATCCCAACTTAACTATTAAAGGCTGGTGGTGGTGAACCTATGGGGCGGGGGGATTGCATGTTGTCCTGGCTGCCATCTGGCAGTCCGGTACCGTTCCCCCTGACCTGTTGAGGGGTGTGGTCATCCCTCTGGAAGGGGAAGGGGGGGCCGATGGGACTGCAGCAGTCACCGAGGTATCGCACTGCTCAGTATACCAGGCAAGGTTCTCACCTACATCCTTCTGAGGCGTATCAGAAACCACCTACTGAGCAATCTGGATTCACTACTGCCAAGTCCTTAATAGCCGCCATGAATTCGGGCGTGGGATGCTTGCAGCGAACGTCCTTAAGAATGCGTTCGATACGGTGCAACGGAAATCACTCTTGGAGATCCTGAGATTGAGAGGAATTCCAACAAGGATTATTGAACTAATAGCAAGCCTGTATACCGGTACTGAAAGTGCTGTAAAGTATGGTTGGGGCCTGTCGAGTATCTTTCCTGTTAGTTCAGGAGTAAGGCAAGGCTGTGTCCTTGCGCCAACACTTTTCAATACTTGCATATTATATATGTATATGTATATATATATATATATATGTCTACACACATATATGCATATATATATGTACATACAGATACATGTGTATATATACATATATATATATATATGTATATATACATATATATATATGTATATATACATATATATATATACATATACATATATACATAAACATGTATATATACATAAACATGTATATATACAAATACATATGTATATATACATATACATATGTATATATACATATACATATGCATATGTATATATACATATGCATATGTATATATACATATGCATATGTATATACATATGTATATATACATATGCATATGTATATATACATATACATATGTATATATACATATACATATACATATGTATACATATATATAATATATAAATGTACATATGTACTTATAATATATATATATATATATATATAATATATATATATATGTATATACATATATGCATATATATCTATATATATATGTATATATATACATATATACATATATTATATATACATATACATATGTATATATACATATACATATGTATATATACATATACATATGTATATATACATATATATATATACATATGTAATATATACTATACATATGCATATGTATATATACATATACATATGCATATGTATATATACATATACATATGCATATGTATATATATATACATATACATATGTATATATACATATACATATACATATGTATACATAAATATATGCGTGTGTATATATAAATGTACATATGTAATTATACACGTGTGTATGTTTATATATAATATATATATATATATATATATATATATATATATATATATATGTATATATATATGTATATATATATATGTATATATATATTTATATACTTATACATACATGTGTATTGATATATTTTCATATATTTGTGAATGTGTTGAATTTTCTCAAAACAATTTTCTTGATTATTTGTTCTCACTCTTTTCCATAACTTGGATGGCTAAAAATTGATATGAGAATTCATGTAGAAAAGTATGCATGAAAATTAATAACTTTACTACCAATTGCATGGTATTCAGTATGGCAATTAAAAAGATTTTTCTTATTCATTGATATCCATTTCTTTCAGTGATTCCTTATTATCACAATAATTTAAAAACATAGATTCAATTCTTGCTGTTCTTATGGATCATTTTTATCTTTTAACAAACTTTCATGTTTCAAAATTCTGTTAGAGATAACTTTTATATATCTTTAAATTCTTTATGTACAATTTTGTGTAAGTACATATTATACAGTGGCAAAGTTTTACTTTATTTTCCACATTACATCTCCCACTTTTAGGAAATTATGCAAGGTTTCATAACGTTAAATTGTAACTTTAATTGTAGCTTTTTCAAAACCGTTCGAACAATCGTGACAATCATGTAACTTTATTAGAAATTCTGATGGTTTTCAAGGCAATCATTAAAAAATTCTACTATTAACTGACACAATCAAATATACCAATGAATTCTTGAGTGATAAAAGCAATTACAATGAAAATATCTCAGTATAATTATTGGATAATGAATACAAGACAATGATATAATATTTGATTTAATATTATATATTATATCTAAGTTACATTTACAAAACATATTTATTTGCTGCATACCTATATATATATATACAAGTAAAAACTTCTCTGCATAGTATAAATACATATCTTTAATAAATATATAATAATCTAGTCAATAAAATCTTTATAACTAACTCTGTTACTACCATTATAATCTCTCATATATTCTTTCCAATAGATTTTCTATTTTGCTGAGCTTAACATTTTCTTCATCAATTTTTTCAACAAGTTTCTGTTCAAACTTCTTCATCAGTCTATCTTCCATTGCTGCTAATTTCTCCTCTATTAATAGCTCAACTTGCTTTGCTAGTCGATCTTCAAAATCAGCACTAACTACATCTTTGTTGGAATCCTGCTGTATTGAAGCTGCTCCTGCATTTTCCTGCAAGTGCATCACATTCCCACTAGTGATATCTTGACTTGATTTTGAACATTTACAAAGTCCTTCTGTTGATCCTGTTCTACTAGATTCCTGGCAGTTGTCCACAAGTGAATTCTTTGACTTTAACCCTATGGCATTTCTTTCCGACACATTAAAGCTGTTTGGACCAGGATCCACACCTACTGATTTTTGTAACATATTGGTCAACTCCATCATGGATTTTGGAGCTGTACTGCCATCATCCATATAGTTTTGTAATTTTTCAACAAGCTTGTTCATTTGCAATGGTGGGTCACCACCACCATCAGCCACCCTTGTATTCTTCTCTCTTAACACTTTATTTTCAGGATATAAAGCAAGGTGTTTCAATGCATTCTCTACTTTATAAAGATTGCTTTCTTTACTACCATCTATAGTCCCTTTAACTCTCTTTGTCTCTGATTCAACTTTGCTTATCACAGATTCTATTTCATCTTCTACTCTCCCCTTTTTCTTTCTTGCGATTCCTTCCCCTAATGAAGTGGGGAACATATCTGGTCTAGCCGATGGAATCATACCACCAAACATCATTGACATAAGACTCATCGGGTCTGCTCCCTGCAATGCATCGCCCTTTTCCTTCATGCCATTGTTGTAACTCTCAAGCATCTGACGGAATTTCATGGCTTCCTTTGACATCTGGACATCCTTTTCCCTCAGCACAGTCGACAGGTGTTCACTTCCAAAACGACTCTTGGAAATTGCGTTCGCACACTCTGGATCAGCAACAGTCATGATATGAAAGCCATATATCCACACCGACTCGCCATGACACGTCCCTTTTAACTTGAGCACCACAGTTTCCTGACATTTCTCAAACTGGAGTTCACATTTGAATAGCTTCGAGTCCCCGAAATCCCCCAAGAGCGAACCGTGCACCGTCTTGAAGTACTCCTCGTGCATCCCAGTACACACCTCGATCACTCTGGCTTCCGATAAAACAACGAATCCAACCAAAAGTCTTTTATTCCGAGACGAAAACCCATTGGTGTGTCTGAACGAGGGAGATCTCGCGACAAGTCGAATAACACACCCGCCATCCTCCACATCGCCTTCTCCTCGAGCTAAACTGATGCACCTCTCCTCGTCCAGTAAGTCTTCCAGTTCTCCCGACGGTAGCTTCTCACTTTCTCGAATTATATCTTGTAAAGTGCAACCGCTTTCGCTAGGCCAGTTGCTCGTCACTTCCATTGTTGACGTTTTGCTCGGCTCCGGGAAGTCGACCAATCAGAGGCCAGATCGAGGCAGCCAATCAGAACGCTCCTTGTACAAAAATAATATTGAGATAATTAAAAAAATATGTTTGATTGAAGCATCCGACTTATAAAAGTTTATTACATAAATTCCTCAGTTTCTTTATTTGGAAATATCACAAGATTTGATACTAGACCCTATGATAAGACGTATAAAATTTACTTAATTCTCTTATTTTTTTTACATTCACGGTCATCTATCAGATGAAATTAAAAACTTCTTTTGTCAAATAAGGTATAATCTGAATATACTTCTCGAATAGTATTCTAAATACTTATACTCAAAATCTCTAACAGCAGAGAAGGACCATGGTGATTGGCTAAAATTTTCCTTAATTCTCATTGGTCAAGATCCAAGACGGTATACCTGAAAACACGAAGTGAGTCTCGGGATTAGTCTTAAAAGGCCGGGGTTTACGTGTAATATCCCGTGAAACGCTTGTTGTGCGTTAATGTAAGTATGTGGAATGGAGGCAATGTAATTTGGTTTTAAGATTACTACAGAATAAAATTGTTATATGACTTCATTGGTTGTCGGTTGCACAACAGACGACTCGGTCATTTCACCTGATTACATAAAAATATTGTTACATTCAATCTATATGATTTAATTATCATTTGAGGGTGTGTCATCTTATGATAGTACGAAATTACAAGTATTTACAGGTGGTATAGTATACAGTGTATGTTATTTAACTGTAGGAAGGTAACAGATTTTTCTCTTTAGTTTTTCTAGTCTTCCTTAATCATGTATGTGACTGATATTTCAGAATAAGTTGTATAGTGTTTGGTACATGTTTAGACGCCCCCCCCCCCACGTTAGATTTTAATGCTGTGTTCAGAGATCCTCGTCATATACTGCATTTGGAACTCCTCATCTTGCTCATCCTTTAACTAATCATGATTATGTGCAGCTATCAGTGTGGGTAATTCTTTACAGTACAGACACAGTTGCCAGAGCCTAAGTCCCCAACTCCATTTCTCAAAATTTATTCATCAATCTAAGTCGTCTTAATTGACCGTGTCCGTCTGCCTGAAGGGAAGATTTATGGGTGGCTCTGCTCCCCAACAGCACCCGGGAAACATGGCCTTCACCTTAGTATGCAAAGCAAGATAGAGCTGAAACTTAGGAACGCCATGTGGACTTCCGGGATATTTTATCTTTATATGTGGTGATATCGTTTGTTTCTGCAGATGATTTTTTGTACCAATGATAGTAACTTTTTTTCTTCTATATCACATTCAATTTGCCCTTACTTGGTGCATCCATACTGTAAAGATTAACCTCAGTGCATATATACTAATATTGTTATGACATCACATTGTTCTCTTGGCCGGGCTGCAGAGGTGCTCAAAATAAATAAGTTGAACAACTTGTCCTAAAATTGGAGTTCAGAATAATAAAAAGATCTCGACCATCTAGTTCAGCTCGTAGGATGAGGAGTTCTTGATAAAGCATTTCTTCTTCTTCTTTTTCAAATTATATTGGTATTGCTATTTCCAAATCCAATGTCACCTTATTCCACTCCTTATTGGAAAGCCCACAACCTGAAGTCCATCTTGATAGTTTAGACAGTGTCAAGTGAGTGCTCTGGGCCCTCCACAGCTATTCTGGCAAGGTAGAACTAGGGCTAGTTCCATGTTAGATGATGAATAGACTTCCCTGGATTATTTATTATCAAGTAAGAAAACAGTTGAAATTTAGTCTTACTGAATATATTTGGTTGAGGTTTGCTTGCCCTATCTAGTGTAGGATGTACATTAGTCTTGTTTTCTACTTTGTAGCCATATTTTTATTCAACAGAAAGAGTATCATATATACCTCTCTTTTGAATAATTCATAGATGCCAGTACTATAAATGAAGTTCATTGAGTCATTCTATGGCAGGTGAGGCCTTTCACACTAGTAGGATATCTGATCACATGGTAGACCACCCCCTCACATCAGGATGACATCTTTTGGTCATGCACAATAGAGCCTGCTTTTAATTTTACCTGCTGCATTGTGTTCTTGATTGGTCCTGGCTGCATTCATTTATAAGTAACCCTGCAAAAAATGGCTTAAAGCCTTATCTTATCCTTCTCTAAAAAAAATGTTTATGCTGCAGTCAAAAGAATAGACAAGCAGGGTAAATAAATGTTTCTTGTGCTTCTGAATTGCCCCTGAAGCAGCCGACTCAGCATGCAATCTGACATGCTTTTCAGTATGGCACTGGGGGCTGCTATGGTCTCCCCACTCCCTCCTCCTCATCTTATGCTCTCGCTCCTTCCTGTCTACTGCCATCCTTCCCCTCTTTTCCGTCTCTCTTCCCTAACAAGCATATGTCCCATTATTCAATATTCCTTTTCATCAACAGGTTAGCTTGAACAGACAGTGATGAAGAGAAGGCCAATCCAGAACCGCTGGGCTGACATCCTCCACAAGAGTTTCGTGGCAGGTTGCGTTGGCCTGACCCTCTATGGGATGCTGATTGTGGGCACGCGTTCCTATTACTACTTCACTCAGATTAAGCCCAAGCGCCTGGAGGAACAGCGTATTCGTGAAGAGCAGGAGAATGTTGAAATGGAGGACACAGCTCCTACTCTCAAGCTTTAAGAAAACTATATCGTATTATTATTACATATGATTTTTTCTTTTGTGATTGAAGTTCATGTGTCAGGAGCATTGCATAGACTTTATTAGTACACATAATAAAGAAAAGTTAAATTTGGGCATATAAATATTTGCTATATTTCACTCTTTTCCAATACTTTCTCTTTTAGAAAGGTTATAGTATATTAAAGAGACTAAAACTATCACAATGAGATCCATGCGGCCCATTACACAAATTGTCTCCCGCCTCTCGGGAATGGGTGGACTGAGCAGTCGTCTTATAAGCCACAGTGCAGTAATTTACCAAAGCCCACAAACCAAAGTTCCTGCTGCACTGTGGAAGTTGGGAAACCTAAACCATGTGGCTATTGCTACGCCAGACCTGGAAAAGAGTACAGCACTCTATAGGTAAGTTTTGTTTTATCTTTTAAAAATGTTTTTAGTTGTGTTTCTTTTTATTTGATATATATTTTTTCATTAGGTAAAGAATATATATAATGATTGTATTGAAGAAGGTATGTGAAAGGGAAAATTATTTTAATTTTCTAAACAGAGCAAGCCTTGTTTTAATATTCTAAATCAAGTTCTGAAGTTGTAATAAGAAAACTTTTATTTGTGAAATTATTTGATATAACAACATAATATTAGTCATTTTTAAAGATGTAGTTCTGAAACCTTGATCACCCATGTTGCACTGAAAGTAATTAATTCTTTTCATACCTTTCACCACATGAAAATTATTTTATTTACAATGGGACTGCACTAGGCAATGCCATGGCCCCCAAGCTTTGTACTTTGTCAGAGGCCTACAAGTCTTCGTTTTAGATATTCTGACGAGGTACTTTGTGGGCTGTTTCCTTATTTGGGTAAATCAACAGGGCTTTCTCTTGTGATAGAGGTTCAATGACTATTGCCAAAGTACAGAGCTTGGAGGCCGCAGCATACTTCTACATACTTTGATAAAGAATCATGGTCTAAGATTTACTATGTTTAGATTATTTCTTTACACCTAGCAGTGTTGGCGTTCATGTTCTCTATGACCGATTCAATGTTTTTTTGTTTTTTTTGTTTGCAAATTCACCTTCAAATACTGCTTTTCACAGCAAACTTCTTGAAGATTGCATAGGCTAGCATTTGTTTATTCATTATTGGAAGCAGAAGGCAAAATGCATGGTTATTCATGTAATTAAATTAGTTATTAACTTGAATTATGTGTATTTACTAACAAATGTTTGGTTTACCAATATTTATAGTTTTTTGTAACTGCTTTAACAAACATGATAATTATATTGTGTGTTCAGCTAGTAGTTTATCCTATCTAAAAATTAAAAAGAATATATATTTTTATATCTGATTTCACTTGCTAGTCATGTATCAAAGCATCAAATATTAAGCAGTAGAAATTTGACGACTTGCTGTTAGCATACTAAACTTAGTAGCACATATTTGAAGTTTATTTTTTTTTTTTTTATTTTATTTTTTTTTTTATTAGCCACATTGCATGGGCAGAGGGTCAATAATTAGAGATGCCTAGTTTTAAATAATTCAGGATTATTAACATTTCCTGTAAAGAGAGTGGTCATGTTAAAAGCTTAAACTCTTGGAAATTCTATCATCTAATTGATTTTTAAAATCTGTTTGTTTATCCTAATAGGGATGTCTTAGGAGCAGAGGTTAGTGAGGTGGAAGCTCTGCCAGAACATGGTGTATACACTGTGTTTGTTAAGCTAGATAACACAAAACTGGAATTACTGCATCCACTTGGAGAAAATAGCCCTATTCAAGTGAGTCAAGTGTTCATGGGTTACTTTTTGCTGTGTTTGGTAATAATTTAATTTATTGACAGACTCATCCTTCTTGTTTATGTCAGGAAAGAATGTCATCTTGGAAAATACAAATGATTAAATGAGGATATTGGACATATTAGTGTACTTTCTGTTGCATTTTAAATACATATATTTATTTCTTCAAAGACAAGAAAACTGAAAATAAAGAAAAAAAAAGTGGCAGTAATTGAGCCCTCCAATATCTTTTCATTGTAAAGAAATGTATTCACATATATTTTAAAGATATTTATATTCTCTTTCAGAACTTCTTGGACAAGAACAAGAATGGAGGAATGCACCACATCTGCATTGAGGTGAATGACATCAAATCTGCCATGGCTGACCTACAAGCACAGAAAATTCGCTGTCTCAGCAAGGAGCCCAAGATTGGAGCCCATGGGAAGCCTGTAGTTTTCCTGCACCCCAAGGATTGTGCAGGAGTGCTCGTAGAACTCGAAGAAGCTTAGCTCAAAGGAATTGATACTAAAGGGACCTTGGCACATATTCTGTTGTTGTGTAAAGCAGTAGGGTAGAGTATTTTATACCTTCCTGACTAACATGTATTTAGTTACTTGTAAGTAATTTCTTATTTAATTAGGATTTCCCTGCAGCATCTAGATATTTTTGTTAGTCATAAAATGCTTTGGTGTAAATAAATATCTTCATTGTATTTCCTTTGTTTTTATTCAGTCATTATTTGGGATATCATGATTCTGTGGTCAGATAGATTTTCCTAATTACTCAGTGTGATTGGGAAAAGGGAAAGAAAAAACCCTCTTCATGATTTTTGGACACTATATAGTAAACCTTCATGACGGAAATATTAGAATTGACTGAACAAATGAAGAAATCACAATTACAGATCAGACCTCCAAGGAAGGTTGTAGCCAAACAGCTAAATTGTGCAGTTATTATAAAACCTATTATATATACCTACAAATTTTGGAGGAAATTTTGGAAGTAAATATATAAATAAAACAAAGAATAAAAAACAGGATCAGTGTTTCCATGCATTTTTAACAGAATTTTTGTTAATTTAGAATTATGCATGGTATATCTTTTATCACATTGCAGGAATAAAATGTCAAGGCAGTTAAGATTGTGGATAAGTACTTTTGAAAATAGAATTGCAAACTCCAACCAAGATGAGATTCTCTCTCAACCATCATGGGAAAGAAAAGTATATTGCAGATAGCTTCATCAAGTGTTTGGCATTAAAGTGAAACTATAATTAACACTTCTAGAATAATATACCAAAATTTTTAATTTCATCCCACTTATATTGACTATATATTTCTAAATACTTGATTCAGGCACTAGCTATAACTTAGAGAAATCAAATTCTTCAATCTTCCCTTGTATGTACATCAGTTGCCATTACTGGTTTTTGTTCTGCATATAGACCATAAGTAGTCATATATTTTAAAGTTTGACAAATGAAAGGTAATATGTTCACCCACTCCAGGGTGACATCCTCTCGTCTTGCACAGCAGATTCGGTTTATAAGTAGTGTAGGCTAAACAGTTGTTTGCTTATTTGGCCCTGGCTGGTCATTGAAAAGAAACAGCCCCTTCAGAGAAGCCTTAAACCCGTCACTCAGGAAATGTATTGTTTTGTGAAATGTCTCTGCATAAACATGGTTCCACAAGTGCATTACCACATAGGAGCCAATTAGTAGACCTTATAGCCTCGCTTGATTTCACCTTTCCTCAAGTTGTGGGATTATCTTTTTTTTCTTTATTACTAATATCAATACCAATGCTGTTGTTGTTATTATAGACATTACTAACAGCAATATAAGATACTAGAAAAAAAATCTGAAAATCAAGGAAAAGGATAACAGATGAGATGGGTAGTACTTGTAATTGGCTCAATGATGACAATATTTGTGGAGCCGTGTATGTGTAAAGAACTGAGTAAACTCAGTGGGCCTGCCGTGTATGTACATTCAGTCATTCAGTCCAATTATCAATATGGGTGGGTTAAATGCATAATAAGAATTGCTAACATTTGTATGAAAAAGAAATGTCAGCATCTTTTTTTTCCTAATCATAGCTTGTCTTAAAACATTATGTAGGAGACAATTTTACATATTGAGACAGTTGTTTTGTTCATGTACTCTTTGTTCACCACCACCATCTGTTCACATATACAAAAGCATGTATCCCCTCTAATTGTAATCTGTTGTGACATAGGTATACAGAAAATGAGTCAATTGCAAGCATAAACACAATTTTTCTTTGCAAATCTTGAGAATCTGAAACAAGTCAGTGAACTCTTATTAATTATGAACAGATCTTTAATTTGGGATTCTTGTGAACCTAGGTATCTTTTAAATGTAATTATGAAATGAAAATTTATAGACGATATTGTTGATGTACTTACGAAGAACCTAATATCAAAGAAAAAAATTAAAAGCAAACAGGAGGGAAGAGCTCTCATAATAATAAGTATGAACACAGCCTATCCTCACTAATAATCATATTATATTTAATTAAACTCACTCTATCTTTGGTGTAACTGTGTGGCTGTACATTATGTAATTAAGTAAAGGTACCCCCAATACAAAGCAGCATCAGATCCAAACTAAAAGAAAGCACAAAAGTACTAAATACACTTTTCTCTCTATCTATACATACTGGTACTTTTACCATCCAATTTGTCATAAATTACATGTATCACATTATGGGGAAAAAAATAAAAAACAAAACCTGTTTATTCTTTTATTATTGTAGAAATTCTTACTCCATTCTAAATATTTTCCATGGTTTAAATTAAAACGACTTACACATAGCCCCAGGGATCCATAGGCCGTAATTAATTCTGACTCAACAACCACATCCTTTAACTCAAACTTCCATTAGAGTCCATAAAACTTTCTGACAGGGTGAGATGAAAAATAAAGCACATATTGAAATACAAAATAAAAAATAATAATAATAAAAAAAAGAAAAAAACGTTACTACCTAAATATTAATGACTCTCGATAACTTTTGTACTCTATTGAGAAGGATGTCTCCTTGCTTGATCACGGCCTGGTACTGCCAATTCTTAGAGTCTGGTCGATTGGTCTCTACGATGCCTCCCACTTTGTCAATCTTACAGTGGAGACGATTAGCAGCGATGTACCTTGACAGTTCCCTGAAATAGCATGAAAAGTCTTTAGACTCCAACAACACTAGTTAAATTATTTTTTTCTTTCCCATTCAATCTCAGATCAGAGAAAACCAAACCAAATTCAATGAAGATTACCAAAACCTCAAAGACCTAACCTGTCAATAAATTCTGTGGAGACGCCAAAGGCAGTGGCCATGTACTGGAGAGTGAGGGATCGGTAAGATTCAAGGAGCTGTGTGTAGGCCAAGATGCGCATCTCCCTCACATAGTACCTATAATGTGGTGCCAGTAAACGATCATGCCGTAGCTCGCCTTCAACCCAAGCTGGACAAGGAGAGAAATGTTTTTTTTATATGAAAAAGTCTTGAAAAACAGCTCAAAATATAAAGAAAAAATCAGATGAACTTTTGTGAACCTTCTTTTTCAATATTAAAGTCTATTATATTATTAAAGCAGACTGGCTACATATTCCAAACTAGCAGAGCCCAAGTCCCAATACACAAACATCTAGTAACTTACCCAACTTCTGGAAGAAGGTGTGGTACTGACACTCATAGAGTGAAAGAAGGTAAGATCTCAGGTCATCTGCGGAGTGAAGCACCTCCTGAATCTCTGACCCTTTGACCACCTTTGTGCGAAGGTCATTGCGGGGTAGTGCAATCATACACACAAGCACAGTGTAGCCAACAAATCTGTGGAAAATTTTGGTGTTTCAGCACTTTTAGGTATCAGTTTGTTGCTTTGATACAAGGAGCATAACATGCAGGTAGATTTAATAAAACAAAGGATTACTAAGAGAACTTCAATGAAAACTTTAGATTTAAATGGATGAAGGCAAGAGAAAAATTCATTAAAAAAAGATTCATTACAATCTGCAATCTTTAATTTTCTCTCAGTTACCTAGTGTAGTCCATGAGTTCATATGATGTAAAGGTGCTGATTGTGTCAAGGAACAGATTAGCAGCTTTTTTGAAGTCCCTCACGGCCATGCAGTAAACTCCCTCATAAACCTTCAACCTGTTGCGTCTGTCCCAGTCTCCTCCTTCCTCTATCAAGCTGTAAGGGTAAAAAATTGGTTAGAAAACCCTTATATAATTTCCTTTGATCTTTTAACTTTGCTTCTTTGAAGGAAAAACATAACAGTAAATCTAAAACACCTACCTCTTTGCTTTCTCCAAATTGCGTGTGATGAGGGAGTGGTCTAAGTAGAAGAGCCCAAGACGGATGTTGTGGAAGACGAGGTCAAGGCGTTGGCCCAGAGACACCGTCTTGTCATATGTCTTGGCAAAGGCTTTCACAGCCTCCTCCTAAATGGGTGGAAAGGAATCATGAAATGCTATATATCTGGTAATGTCACTGGTGTGTATTTATCCCATTCATTCCATCATTTCTAGAGTATCTAAGAATAAATAAAAAATCTTTATGCATGTTTGTGTTTTTATTGGGGGAGACTAAAGATTGCATGTTTCTTGACTTGATGTAGGATGGAGCAGAGTGCTTAACCCATTAGCGACGGTACATTTTCACGCTGAAAATAATTTTTTTTCCAGGCAGTTTTAAAATCAATTCCAGGAACCTGCCCATGCGCTGCCCACCACGTGCGACAAAATCGGAGTGCTCCGATCTAGCATCGCACCAGCGTGACACCTAGTAATGTTTACTTTTCTGGGTGTCTCATATGTGGGACACCTGTCATATGCGGGTTAACCCATTAACAACAGTATATTTTGAAGCCGAAAATAAAAGATTTTGGGCGGCTACAAAATCTGCGGTCCGCCAGCCGGCCACAGCCCGCTTCTGCAATGGAGCGCGAGCCCTGACTTCATGGTTATTTACTGAAAATACATTACTTTTTAAACTATCTCTTTTGAATGTAATAAATAGCATAATTCACCAAGTGAAAACATGATTAATCACACATTTTTATGGGTGTCTATGGTAACCTTAATTCTTTAACCCACTTACGATGGGTTTCCCCACATATGAGACACCCGGAAAAGTGAACATTGCTGGGCATCCCGCCAGTGCGACGCCAGATCGGGGCTTGTGCTCTGATTTTGTTGCCCATGGTGATTTTTAAGCCATCCAGAAAATATTGTTTTCAACTTATAAATGTACAGTCACTAGTGGGTTAACCTTTTAACTTTATAACAAAAATGTGAGTCCACGGATAACAAAATTTGTATATGAATTGAAATTTGTTTTTAGATCAAGGTATACATGTATGGGACTTAAGATATTATGCCTCCGAAATCTTGTATGCACAAATGTTGCAATCCTTAGTAAATGTCATAGTTACTAGGTTGGTAAGGATTTACAAATACCAAATCATGACAAAAAGAAAATCTATAGACAAAAGAAAAAGAGACAAACAGATTATAATAAAATAATAAGAAATACATAAATAAAGTATCTCTTCACCCTACCACTGCAAATTCATCCCCCTCCACTTCAAAACTCCCAACCAACCTTGTCTCCAATCCGCGAGAGGTATTCAGCTTTCTTCAGGTTTGCTTCCCGGATCTCTGTCTCGCCCATGGAAGTTTCTGCCTC